GCTCTAGCGTCATTATGTGCCAAGTTATTGGCAAAAACGTCATTTGACCTCAGTGGACCTCATTTGACCTGACCCATGGATAAGTACACCAAACAAAGAAGCACCAAGTGACCTGCTGTTAAGTACTGTGGTTTCAAAGCACAAAAGTGATGGAACGAAGCGGATATCTCCAGTATTTTCCGAATTTAATATTTTCCCATAGGCTTAAAGGGACTATCCCACCTTCTAAAATGTTGTTAAAACCAGTTAAATTGTGCCCAACTTTATAGATTGGATGACCAGGAACACGGTTCTGGCATTTATTTTTCATTAAACATCTTAGGCTTCCCATATTCCAAACACAAACTTTCAAATATGTGACGTCACAGCCCAAAATTACCTCCTTCCCCAGGCCACATTACTGTCATAAAGCTGATTCTTTTTACTCTGTAGGCACCACAATAAAGTTCAGACCAAGTTTTAAGCGATTTTTCAACGAACAAACCCATTTAAACCAGAATGACTAAACGAGGTGACGTCACACTAACGGTCGCTCCATGTTGAAGATAGGGCCTTGTACAAGGCCCATTTTCAAATGAAGGGAACGAATTTCTTCAACACCAAGAGGCCGCGGGGGTTGCAACCTACCTAGATAGATAGTGGTTTCTGAACCTCGCCGAAAACTTGGCTATCTCAACTCAAACCCCATGTTAAAGGTGGGATAGTCCCTTTAAAGGGACCCTCCCACCTTAAAAAAAGTTAATGAATTGGCATGAAAGTGATGTCGCTCGGTTCAGAAAGAGCAAAAACGAATATCTACCAAATTTCATCGAAAAATATTCACCGGTTTTCAAGATATTAGACTTTTACTTTTGTTTACTTTTTGGGATCTCCGCTGTTCCTAGCGACTTTATTTGAAAGTGCGGCATTTGTTGCGCACAAAGCAGCACATACCACCGCGTGCTACAAAACGTTTTAGTCAAACATTTAACGGACGTTCGAAAGCCTGATGACGTCATCAGATTCCCGTATTGGTTAAGAGATAGGGACCACGCTGGTCCCACCCTGCAAGTAAAGGGAAGAAATTTCTTGAACACCATAAAGCTGCGGGGGTTGCGACCAGGATAAATGGTGGTTTCTGAGCCTGGCCGCAAACTTGTCTATCTCAACTCAAAACTAATGTTAAGGTGGGAGGGTCCCTTTAAGCTGAATGGATTTCGCTGTCTGTTTTTTTCTCTCTCTGTCTCTCCGTCTCTGCCTCTGTCTCTGTCTCCGTCTCTGTCTCTGTCTGTCTGTCTGTCTGTCTGTCTCTCTCTCGCTCTCTGTCTGTCTGTCTGTCTGTCTGTCTGTCTGTCTATCTGTCTGTCCGTCTGTCTGTCTGTCTGTCTGTCTGTCTGTCTGTCTGTCTGTCTGTCTGTCTGTCTGTCTGTCTGTCTGTCTGTCTGTCTGTCTGTCTGTCTGTCTGTCTGTCTGTCTGTCTGTCTGTCTGTCTGTCTGTCTGTCTGTCTGTCTGTCTGTCTGTCTGTCTGTCTGTCTGTCTGTCTGTCTGTCTGTCTGTCTGTCTGTCTGTCTGTCTGTCTGTCTGTCTGTCTGTCTGTCTGTCTGTCTGTCTGTCTGTCTGTCTGTCTGTCTGTCTGTCTGTCTGTCTGTCTGTCTGTCTGTCTGTCTGTCTGTCTGTCTGTCTGTCTGTCTGTCTGTCTGTCTGTCTGTCTGTCTGTCTGTCTGTCTGTCTGTCTGTCTGTCTGTCTGTCTGTCTGTCTGTCTGTCTGTCTGTCTGTCTGTCTGTCTGTCTGTCTGTCTGTCTGTCTGTCTGTCTGTCTGTCTGTCTGTCTGTCTGTCTGTCTGTCCGTCCGTCTGTCTGTCTGTCTGTCTGTCTGTCTGTCTGTCCGTCTGTCTGTCTGTCTGTCTGTCTGTCTGTCCGTCTGTCTGTCTGTCTGTCTGTCTGTCTGTCTGTCTGTCTGTCTGTCTGTCTGTCTGTCTGTCTGTCTGTCTGTCTGTCTGTCTGTCTGTCTGTCTGTCTGTCTGTCTGTCTGTCTGTCTGTCTGTCTGTCTGTCTGTCTGTCTGTCTGTCTGTCTGTCTGTCTGTCTGTCTGTCTGTCTGTCCGTCCGTCTCTCTCTCTCTCTCTCTCTCTCTCTCTCTCTCTCTCTCTCTCTCTCTCTCTCTCTCTCTCTCTCTCTCTCTCTCTCTCTCTCTCTCGCTCGCTCTCTCTTTCTCTCTCTCTCTCTTTCTCTCTCTATATATCTCTCTCTCTCTTTCTCTTTTCTTTTCTTTTCTTTGGTAGTTGAGCTCCCATCTCTCATATACATTTTTGCGACTTAATGAACTTCACCTGCGAAATAGGGCCATTCATTCATGTCGGCTCGTTAAAGGGACCCTCCCACCTTCAAAAAAGCTAATCAATTGGCATAAAAGTGATGTCGTTTGGTTCAGAGTGAGCAAAAATGAACATCTACCAAATTTCATTAAAGAATACTAACCGGTTTTGAGATATTAGATCAATTACATTTGCTTATTTTTCGGAGCCTTCGCTTTTCTTACGACGTCATTTGGAAGCAATAATTTGGTATCTTAAAAGAGTGGCAGATGTTACGCGCAAACGACATATACCTACCATCACTGCTTCACAAATATGTTAGAATAAGATTTTAAAATCGCTAGATCTGCGCTGACGTCACAAATTCAAAGGGGGCATTCAGATGCAATAGCCCCTCTGAATCCAAAGTACTGCAACTTTGAAGTTAAATATCTCCGAATTAAAGCCTTTCTCGATGTTGTGAGTACCCAAACCGGTAAGTGCAAGCCAGGGACCCCAATTTGGCTATCTCTACTCAAAAGTAAAAAAACAATGTTAGGGTGGGATGGTTACTTAAATATGATTCTACTAACAAAGCGTCGGGTAGTTGATATTGATCTGCTAGCTAGATTATATCTAGCCATCCTGCTAGCTAGATTATATCAACAGTGCATTCTTCACAAGACTAGGGGTGACGTCTGGCACCTCAAATCCCTCTTCTGTCAGTCACATCGTGATTGTAGGTAAAATGAGGCCCGGGTGCCCTTATATTATCCGCTACACTGGGGCTCCGCTTATGTGACATAAGTGGTCTGCTAACGCGGTATGCACCACTCGCCAGCAGATTGTTTTATGATTATTGAATCCCGTTTGAATGCTTCGTCACATTCACCCATACAATTCTTACATTTTCAGGATTCTGTTCCCTACCGACATCCGTCTCTCGACGAGTCGACTGTCGCCATTGTTTCACAACATAATCGCGCCTTTGTAACCGTTTCCAAACAAACCGATCTCGTGCCATTGCGCTCTATAGGGGTACTGCGAAACGCCAGCGTTCCGGTCATTGTTTGGCAGTGTCGCTATACGTCAGAAACGCTCACTCACAATCCTGTTCCACCTCACAATGGCCAACAACGTTAGCATGTTTGCTAAACAGTTCGAGAAAACGGTTCCCTCCAGTTAATCCTATGTAGTCAGCCTTTGGTGCAACGAGAGGCGTTGGCTCTCGCTTTGGCAGTGGCAACTGGCACCTTCCTTATATTGTACGGCCGACCATAAATTATGACTGCGCTGCGATGAGATCGGCTATATCCAGTGCGTGCTCCCAGATGCTGGACACGTCGCCCTAAATGGAGCCGCCTTTCGAGCAGGACCGGACGTCATTCAACGCGCCCGTATATATCGCACAGAAAGGGAATACAAATACCTGCCAAGCTCTCAGCTTTACATTTTTCAGAAGCAGGGCAGAGCGCTGAACCTACAGAAATACATTCATTTATATTGATTTAAGTGCTACTTACTTTCCATTGGTCATACCTATCCCTTGCACAATGCACATTCATTGAAGGCATTTTGAAAACACTGGGAACATAATTAAAACGGGTGTTTGGAGGTACACCTATAATGTAGACTGCAAAATTTGATTTTAGAATTGACCATGTGTGATCGTTTCAGTTTTTCTCCAATGCAAATACAGATGGACGTGAACCGCTAAACGTAGAGTAAAAGTGTTTAGGTAAAAGGTGTTAAAGGAAAATCACATCATCAGACGTCTTGAAACCGAATTCAAGCGGGAACGCAATACAGTAATAGTATGTAACTAACACAAATGTAGCAGAACATCTCAATGCATGGCACAGGTGCATCGCAGCCGGCTGGTGCATTTAGATGAGGGACGAAGCGAGTTTTTGTAGGTGGGCATGCTTTTACGTATAATTTGTTTTATTCGTAGTCTGAACAACTATATCTTTTTTTCAAATATCAGCGTGCATGGAAATCTGACCACTATTTTTGTACCACAAAAAAACTTAGGCGCGTGGTAACCAAACACGATTTTTGCCAATGGTATGTGACAAGCTGCTGGAAGTTTGCAGCCGAAGTTTTGGAAGTTAGCTTCCTAGGAATCCTAACTTTCTGAAGCATATTAATTAAACGTCTTTCTTTCTTAAAGACTTAAGTGATGATCAGCTTACCAACATTAAACGAAAGTCAATAAGAATGTTTATAAAATAAGAAACTTCAGAATAATTTTGTAGGCTAAATGTCGTACCTACTATAACCAGTTACCACTACACTTCAACCTACTGTTCATCGCACTTAATGAAATACTTGATGTTTTTAGTCATGTGAAAATGTCATCTCGGATTCGTAAATTATCTTCTAGCTAGCCAACTTTTAGCTTCCGAAGAAAAACAATAAATAAAAGTACGTATCGTTAATTTTTTAGACACCGTCTGTTCGGCGGTACGCTCTTTTAGGTGACGTTATATAGCTCTTGATAGGTGACGTGATTACGTGACGGTAAGTACAACTGCGTTTACAAAGTTTGAACCACGTGCCTAGCTGATTAAGCCACAACATCTAAGAACAGATTTTGAAGCTCACAACCCAACCCGGTGTCATCTACACGTGCACAAATCGTTCAAAACTCAAGAGCACGTATGCATGCGAGTATATACCCCGAAGTCCTTCGGGCTCCCGGAGCCGGTCCAAAGACATACTCACAGTAGGTCATCGTCATCAGGGTTTCCACCGTCTCCGGCTTCAGCTTGGAGTTCTTCTTGCCCATACCGCCGTCTCTGAGGACTGGTCCAGCGCCTGCTGACCGTCTGCTGACCGTCTGCTGACCGTCTGCTGACCTGCTGCTGACCACCTGCTGATCACCAGCTCAGCACGGCCTACGGGCCGCTGATGCGACCCACACCGGCGCCGCTGGCCACTCTGAGGTCTGAGAAGTCAGCTCGCCAGGTCCGCGCTGCCCGATGAGCCTCTATTGAAGCGCGTGCCTTCGGTCATTGGGGAAGCCTCGTGTAAGCTAAACCACTGTAACTGCACTAGCGGTATCAGTAATCGCTATATCGACGGTGTATTCGTGCGGATGCATCTGTTTCAACACCACATAAGTGTAAAGCTCTCACTACTTTTGACTTTCGCAGTTAAACGGCGATTGTTCGGGGAGATGGGCTGTGCTCTGGTTAGAGCTGTTGGCCGATTACAGCACCGGGCACGACGCCCTGCGGCACCAATGTGTCTCACGGTCACGTCACCACATGATCAGTTACGGAGCACCAGCGGGGACGTGGATGTTGTCAGTCACCGGTAGTCGGGTCGGGTCAGGTCTCCGGCACCCTGCAGCACCGTCCGACTCGGGGGCGGGACACCACTGGGACGGCGAGCGGCGGCCGACTGTCGCTGTCGGCGATCCTAGCCCCGTCGGCGGCGGCGGCGGCGGCGCCTGCGTGCGGCTCGCTCCCCTCCTCCTGCCGCCACCCATCCGCGACCCGTGTCATCACCCACGACAGCAAAGCGACCCCCACCCGCGGCCAAATAACGACCACATCTGCACCAGTCGGCTCCTCTGCGCCGCCACCCTCGCTGCGAACCCGTATTGCCACACCGTGCTGGAAGCATCGCCGTCTGATGTCCCGACTTTGTCCCGGCATTGAAAGTCATTCTGTTATGGTGGTAGCAATGTGTGTGCGTATGGAGGGGAAGGGGATAGGGCTCCTCATGCCGTGCTTAGAATCTGACAACTGCATTGCCTCAGCTTTGCAACTGCAGCTTTGTACTGTACCCATTACTCAGGGGAGCAGGTTTTGAAGCATGCAACGACTCAGAAAACGAAACCGTGCAATGTTCATCTATGTATTGCAAAATTCATCAATAATACATCCACTCCAAAGCTCCCACGTGGCCACCACACTAAAGGGCAAACAAAGAACAGAGCCCAACTCAAATAATGACGCATACCTGCTACCATGATATTGTCTCACACGCAGTCTGTCACACTTCTTGCAGTATGGATATCAGGCCTCCTCTCGTTTCTGTCTTTTATGCCCACACAAATAATGCCTGCAACTTTCGACTTTCGACGTAAAATCTTAAAACAATCCCAACCAAAATACTCGTATGATCTTTTGCCAGAGCGCTGGAGAGCAGACACAAGTGTTAAATAAAGCAGTTCTTATAACAAACTCGTTTGCCATCTTCTTCAAATGATTTGTGTACGGTGTCGTTCCTCAGATAAGTGTCGCGCCGGTCTGTTAGGGGCAGTTGGGCATGTTGATGAGGTTCGCGCCGGCCACTGTGCACTCGAGGGCGATCATAACAGTGGCGGAGCTGATGTACGACGTGTCCGTGGTGACCACCGTCGTCGTCACCCTCTTCATGTACGTGTAGAGGAAGCGGCCCTTCTTGACCGGAGTGTGAGACAGCGACGACTCCAGCGCCGTCACCGACCGACTGAAAATAGAGATCAAATAGAAAAGTTATACCAGATGTTACTATCAGTAAATTGACATTCGATACCCATGTGTAGAACGGCTGTCTGCTTAACATGGCACGAATATCATGAGTCGTCAGGATGATGATTGCGATAAATCAGTAAGAGCTCCGGAATAGGTATTGTAATTATAAGCAAAAAAAAAAAAAAAGGCTCGGTCCGAGAATAGAGCCCTCGGGCACACCACTCACAGCTGGACACCAATCTAATGGCACTTCAACAACGCGCTGTTGTCTTCGACAGGTAAGATTTTAAAAAGCGAGCATCTGTCCAAAAATGTCGAAACACGTTTCCAGTTAGCACGGCAACAGTCGATGATCGTCACTCTGAAAATTGCGCTTAAGTCGGTGTGTCTCTTCCAGTGAATAAATAATCGGTATTAGGGTCCCCTAATAAAGTTTAGTGGCCCCTCTGGAGTGTGAAGACCAGCTGGGTCGGAGGTGGGTTGGGGAGCGGCAGTCCGTGGGGAGGGGCGAGGGCGGGGAGGGCGAGGGAGGAGACGAGAGGACAGACGCCAGTCAGTGAGAGGGGACGACGGTGACAACAGAGGCGGGCCGCGAGTGGCGCGTCTGGTGGCGTGATTGCGCGTGTGTGGTAGGATAGCGTGCGTGTGCTGGCATCACGCAGCCTCTATCGTGCACGGTACGGTGGTGAGAGCCAGAGCGGGACGCGGACCATGGACTCCGCGCAACACTACGGACCCGGCACCGTTGGAATGGCAGGTGGGTCCGGTCCGCCGGTATCTGCATCGTAACCACGTGCTGTGTGCAGTGTCGTTGGCTGTATGTATCGTGTTCGGCGACTGACCTGGGAATGTTAGGTCAGTTCGGTACGAGGCCTGGCAGAGGCCGGTTCGGACAGAGGCCGGTTCGGTGAGGCCGGTGCGGACAGAGGCCGGTTCGTGAGGCCGGTGCGGACAGAGGCCGGTTCGTGAGGCCGGTGCGGACAGAGGCCGGTTCGTGAGGCCGGTGCGGACAGAGGCCGGTTCGTGAGGCCGGTGCGGACAGAGGCCGGTTCGTGAGGCCGGTGAGGACAGAGGCCGGTTCGTGAGGCCGGTGCGGACAGAGGCCGGTTCGTGAGGCCGGTGCGGACAGAGGCCGGTTCGGCGAGGCCGGTTCGGCGACTGATGTAAGATCAATAAATTCTTACGCTGCGGTGGATGGAAGGTGCTCGGGCGCCCCGTGGCCCTTGGGCTGGCTACGGCGCCGGCGCCGGCGACCCGAGCAGGCCGGCGGCGAGGTGGCGAACCCGGTGATGCAGGTGTACAACTTGGTGGTGACCGTCGACGTCAGCTCGGTGATGGTCTCGGTGCGGTGCTGCACCAGCACCCGGCCGGTCGGCTCCAGACGCGCATCTGCACGGGCAAACCGTTCAAGTGCACGCAACTTACTATAGGCGTCAAAAATCTTGGGCTTACCAGTGGTGACTGGTGATATACGGTATTTTACAGGGTGATTCAGAAAAGTGTCCCACATTTGTTTTCTGAGTTATTTAAAAACTTGGTAACGCAGACACATGTTTATTGCATCAAAAGAAGCAGCATTTCATGGAGATTTGTTTGGAAGCAGCCAGCATGGCATAACGTGACAGGTGCAGTCAGTGGAGCACGTGCTCCAGATGGCGTCCATTTCGCGACAGGCACAGATCAGCCCTGTGCTTGACTTCTGCTGCCACTCGGGCGCAGGTGGCAAGAGGAATCCTGCGGACTTCACGCCCGATGGCAGCCTTTAGATCTGAGAGGGTTTGGGGGCTGCCTTGGTAGACGCGGCTCTTCAGATACCCCCAGAGGTAGAAGTCGAGCGGCGTTAGATCCGGGGAGTGCGCCGGCCAGGGGTGCGCCGTTTTCCGGCTGATCATGCGGGCACAGAAGTGCGTCTCCAGCCACTCGAGGGCGATGTTGGAGGTGTGAGGCGTCGCACCGTCCTGCTGGAACCAGAAGAAGTTCAGCTGTGTCTGGTGTTGAGCTTGTAAGCGTTTCCAGAAGCGATTGAGCGTTGTTGTGTACCGCTCTTTGGTGATGGTGGCTGTCGATCCGTCTTGGTTCTGGAACCAAATGGGTCCGATGATGCCTTTGGCGCTGAAAGCGCACCACGCCGTGACCTTCTGACTGTGGAGTGGCTTTTCCATCACGATATCAGGTCGCTCAGCGGCCCAAATCCTGCAGTTCTGGGTGTTCACGTAGCCATCAAGGTGAAAGTGCGCTTCATCACTGAACCAAATGTTCTCCAGAAAGGCTGGATCGGATGTGCACTTTTCAGAAAACCATCTGGCAAAGCTAGACCGCTGCTCTTGATCGCTTGATGTCAACTTGTGATGAATGGTAACTTTATAGGGCGTAAGTCCAAGGTCCTTTCTAGCGATTCGCCACACAGAGCTGTAGCTACCGTTGACCTCTTGTGCGAGCTTTCGCAGTGATTTTGAGGGGTCGTCGTTGATAGCCGCCTGGACTTTTGCGATGAATTCTGAAGTTCTAGCAGAAGACTTTCTTCCACTCCGACCCTTGTTTAGGTTTCCGACGGATCCCTCTCTCAGGAGCTGTTCACAGAGTCGAAGTATTGTCTTTCTATCTGGAGTTTTCCTTGTTTGAAAATGGGCCCGAAATTTCCGTTGCGTTAAGACGATTGATTTGGTCTCCCAGTAAAACTGCACGACCTTTACTTTTTGTTCCTTACTCAAAGGCGACATGATTAACAGTGTTCTCACCTACTTAAAATAAATTTACATTGCACGTGCTTACTTTCACAGCAAACAAAACGTGTTTTTGTCGTACCATGCGCTTTGAATTTGAAAATGAAATGTGGGACACTTTTTTGAATCACCCCTATGTCCATTTTATAGTTGCATTCTCATCTGTCTTAGGTTCGTTGACGCTTTGAGGCTCGGGTGCGGGAGAGTCTTATTCTGTGGATTTGCCCTTAGAATTACGATTAAGATTTAAAGCGTCACCACTCACAAGGGCCGACGGAAAAGTCAGCTCCTAAGTAAGGTACAGGTCAGAAGCCCCTCAGTCCTCATACATAGCGGCTGCATCAACTCCTTACCTGTGGTGCCCAGCAAGCAACTGATGGCCAGAGTCAGCAAAACTAGCGTGAGCGCTGAAAGAGCGCGAGACCACATCTGGAATATATCAAGAACGCAGAGACGGTCATCAACGCTTGATCTGCACACTCAAACATGGTTATTTGGGCATTCATGATTAGTTATATACCGGGTGATCATTTTTGAATGATACAAAAACATTTGTTAATATCAGCCATGTGTTAAGCTGGATAGTTAAACCAAACACATACATACTAGTTTCTCGCGTTTATCGTAACACAAGATGAACAAATTTCAATTTATCGCAACATGTTTATCGCAACATTTTTGCCTCGATTTATTGCATCATCTAGGATGTTGCAATAAACTTGTGCATCTTTTAATGAAAGGTTTTGCCTATCTAGGAAGAAAAAATTCGGATATGTTCCTTCATGGATTGAATCGCTGCGTCGCTCGCCGGTGAGGCACGGAGGTTGAGATGCTGGAGGGACGGACATGCAATAATTCTTGAGGTGTACCTATCAGGTGCACGATGGACAGATTCGGTGCTTATCTTACGTTTATTCGCATATTGTGGCATATGTTCCCATCAATTAATAGTCGAAGTCGAGCACTCGCCGGCCAAGGGGGGGGGGGGGGCGGGTGCCGCCCCCATACTTTTTTTTTGGCAATAGCTCGGAACACGCCCGCGATGGAGAGCTGAAACTTGGCATACCTGACCTTTGACTCAAGCCGGATCTTGTGAGATCAGCCGTATTTTCAGCTCAGGTCAGGTCAGTGACGTGACCTATAACATAAGTGAACCTATGCACGGTCCTCAGATGTCGCAACTTCGCAACGCCCTCAGTGCTAGAGGAACTTTCACAGGGAGATGAAACTTACGAAGATGTAAGTTTTATCTGTGAGACCTTCAGAGGTCTCACAACTTGTATATATCTCTGATCTTTTCCTAAAGGTCACACGTGGTTAGGTCGGTTACGTGACCTCACCATTATTAAGTCAATGGGTAAATATGAAAACTGCTATTTTGGCGCCGGGAATGATCTAAAACTATCCCAAGCACATGGAATCAGGCGCATACCTAGAATTTTGCCAAGGGATGGGGGCGGAGGAATCCCGGGTGGGCTCCTTTCTACAGAGGGTCTCCTCTCTAAAGGGGCCTCCTCTCTACAGGGGGCCTCCTTTCTACAGAGGGTCTCCTCTTTACAGAGGGCCTCCTACCTTCAGAGGCCTCCTCTCTACTGAGGAGTCAGAGGGGCCCTAGCGGTCAGACACAGACACTAACGGTTATTCACAGGAGGCCCCAGGAAGTAAGAAGGACCCTAGCTGTCACTTGTCAGGCTGGTCAGAGGGCCCTGATTGTCCTGACGTGTTTTTTTTTGGGGGGGGGGGGATTCCCGTGAATTTCGTTCGCCTCCGACGTGATTTTAACCAACGTGGACCTTCGGCCCACGGGGCCCTGATTCCATCTGGGGCCTCCTAAAAAACCCAAGGGGGGGGGGGCGGACGCCCCCCGTTGGGTACGTCCCTGCATGGAATCGTGATTTCATGCACTCCTTGCAAGGTCCGATGCTTCACTATTGCATTGTTGACCTTGCGTGACGTCATTTACGACGTCACTAGGGTCATAAGAGTTTTTCGTCAATAACTCCCGATCAAATTTAAGTAGAGAGTCGGGAAAGACACCATTGGACTCGGGAAGACCTGCAGAATCGAATGCTATGCAATATGATATCCTTTGATCAACTTCGTGACTTGAGGCCTGAGGGGCTCCATGACCTGACCTTGACTCGAGGTCTACACCTTAACCCGGCCGGGCCCGGGGGGTAATCCCAACCACCGCAGCCCGGGGGGCGTTTTTCGCCCCCCCCCCCTGTCTAACTCCGTAAATAAGGGAGCTACGGTAACAGAAGCGATACCAAACGAAAGGTCCTTACGAGACGATTCTAAAGCACCTAAAATTTTGACCTCAGGTCAATTTTCAAGGTCAGAGGTCAAGGTCAAAGGCAAAAACCGGCACATGTGTAGTGATCTCAAAGTAAGCCTTCTAGAGGACGGCAGGCCGCAGGCAGCATCAAACCGGAAAAATTGGGTGTCAAACGAAAGAAGAGAACCTGAGGATTTCGAAAATGTGCTCAAAATCAAAGGTCAAGGTCAATGTCACGCTGAAAAAAAACGACGCGAGCCCATGTGTAACGAGAGAGGCGATACGCCATTCGAAGTGGAGTAAAGCGTGCTTCAATCCAAGATAAATAAAATCAATCAAATCACATAAATTAAATCCAAGCACATACAAATAAAATGTTTGTAAGGTGCCGAAGTTCAATGGACCATTTCTGCGGTCAATAATGAAGGCAATATGACGATAAAGTCCAACTGAGATAATCGTTGGCACGGATGTGGCCAAAATCGGGCACGAGCAGGACCAGAATTTGGCGCAACTGTATATCACGAACGGGATCCAATGCTGGAACGAACGGCATCAGCGTCAGGCTCAGCACCATAAGCTGGTACAAATGGTGAGGCAATTCAGGCTCGAACTACAGAACAGTCAAGCATAACTAGTAACTACCGTAATCTAACACGAACAGTTATGAGACCCGGCACCAGAACCTGGTACAAACGGCACCATTTTGGACTGGAGAGCGTACCGTCACCAGGCACGAACGGTTCCAGAATATGGCGCGATGGTATGTACATCAGGAAAGAACGTTACCATAACCTGGCACGAACGACATAGGATCAACCATGGAGACCAGAATCAGACACGAACGGTAAAACATAATGGACAATAACGGGTATGCAACGGCGCAGAGCAGTTGAGAGGCCACCAGCGGCGTCCGGCAGGAGCCGAGCCGGTCGGCCAGCGCGCCGTCGAGCCGCGGGCTGGCGCCGCCCGTCAGCGCCAGCCCCGCCTGCAGCTCGCCCACCGACGGGCTCCGTGTGGACATGTGCAGCGTCACGCCAACGGCAGCATGCCGCTACGGTGCAAAAAGGTTCATTTTCTGACGACTGACAGTGTATTTCAATAAGGACACAAAAATGCAGCTGCCGGACTGGCCACCCTTTGCCGACCACACATGGACCGACGGCATCGGGCGCTGCCACTGGACCCTAGCACAGACTCGATCGGATCAACACAATCTTACACCAGGCACACAACACACAACGGATCATGGTACTCAAGTCCGTGCCATCGGTGTCACTCAACAAAAACGGTGCTTCTGTCTCAATGTAAAACTCAATGTATGTACTTACTGACGCCGCGGGCGGCTCCGGGCCGCGAGTCCCATCCGGACCCAACCCAGCACAGCCCAGCCCCCGGCCCGATTCAGCCCTATCACCGGGCACCGCTGCCAGTGCCGAACAGGGAAGGACGGACACCAGAGAACAACTGATGACAACGGACTTACGAGAACTTACAGCATCGAAACCATTATGAGGAAACACGTTATCGAGATACACAACAACCCATACACACTTCACACGCCATCTTGACGCTCACGACTCCGACGTACGCTAGGCCGCTGGCCACCCTTTGCCGACCACACATGGACCGACGGCATCGGGCGCTGCCACTGGACCCTAGCACAGACTCGATCGGATCAACACAATCACTAGACTTACACCAGGCACACGAGACACAACCGAACATGGTACATGCGTCCGTGCCATCGGTATCACGCAGCAAAAACGGTGCCTCTGACTTCTGAGCTTGATAACCAAACTCAACAAAAACGGTGCTTCAGAGCTTGACAACCAAACACCGGACACGGCCAGCAGGACCTACTGCAGCGCCTCGAGCGATCCTGACATAGGCCATGTGGCGGCTGTTCACTGGCTGCCACAGAGAGCACTGCTGACGTCGCGGGCGGCATCGGGGCGCGGGCAGGCACATGTATTGTCGCCGCGGGCGGCATCGGGGCGCGGGCAGACACATGTATTGTCGCCGCGGGCGGCATCGGGGCGCGGGCAGACACATGTATTTGACGCCGCGGGCGGCGCCGGTCCCCAAGTCCCGTCCGGACCCAACCCAGAACAGCCCGGCCCGGCCGCTCCAGCAGCTCACTCCTGAGGGCAGGGACCACCGAACTGATGTTAGTTACGCCGTGAAATCGGACGGAGTCATGGAGCTATGTGAAGGAAATACAATATTGAGCCTATTACGGTTTTCAAAAGCGTTTTTTTCAGCGACGCGCTAGCTCCACCAGGGGCGAAACGGCGAGGGGGTCGTACCCCCCTCGGCCGGCGCGTATGTAGAAAACCAATAGGTCCGGCGAGGGTTAATACCGCTGGAATTTGGCTTATTGAAGTAAAAAAATGCGGTTGGAGCTCTGCTGGCTCCAGTTCTATGAACTCAAAAATAGGTCACCTTATCCACACTTACATAGTTATGACAATGAACATTGAAGAACTAACTGACGATTGACTCAGTTAGTATCAAGGAGGAATCATCCCTTGCACGCCTAAAATAAGCAACCGAATATAGCGCATCGCAACAAACATACGCGCCAAGTACAAAGAAGTGCATCAATACATTGTCAATACTTACTGCCTTCTGTTTAAGTTTGTACATCTTGCATCTTATGTCATTCAGATTATGGCCGTTGAACGGCTCCCTCTTGTACAGGTCTCTGAGGTCATCCATACTGGGTACCCGCCCACCGCGGGCTTTCAGTATCGCCCGCAGTCTCTGCACTTCGGGCACAGACCACTTTACATATCGCTCTGAAAAAATAAAGAAATGTTAACCCTGTTATACGCCTTGACTAGCCTGAGGCAAGTTTTTTACCAGCGCCGTGACGCTCTTCCAATCACAATACATCGATGGAAGGACAAGGGTGCATTCACAACCTTTCTAGTCAGGTAATGGGCCGCCCTACAGTTATACACGTTGTCAAAGGTGAAAATTATTCTATTGTGACACCGTTGACGAACTTCCTGATAGACAAAAAGGTAAAACACAACCAATTACTGGTTGCTTTAAATGATTTTCTCACAGCACAAAATATTTAACCTCAGGCCATCACCTTTGTTTCAAAGAGTTAACTTTCTAATTACATACTTATTCGGAAACACTGACGCCCGGTGTGATACCGACTTTACATCTGTTATACCCGCATGATATACTTTCGTCTGCTCCGGGTGATTTAGTGATAAATAGCAGACATGGTTGTTTAGTTCAGCACTGCTTAGCGGGCATCAACCGGGTAAACGGGCCTACCTAGAGCGTCCAAACAGTGTTGCGGTAGAGCATCTCATCTTCCGTCGGAGAGGCCAACAGCCTGGTGAGACTACTACAGAATATGTGTCCGCTTTGCGAGCACTAGCCAATATATGTTACTTCAGGACGATAAATTAGACATCGGCAGCCACATCAGCCGCACAGCACCAGCCGACGTCCGGCGCTCGGAAACGGAGGAACATCTGGCCACCCTTCCAGACGACGCCGTGTAGGTATGGAGCGACGGCTCGGCGGAGGGAGGTGTCTCAGCCAGAGGGAGTGAAGCGTTGATAATCCTCCCCTCGGGCGAGGAACACGAGCTCCGAGCCCCCGCAGTCAAGATATGCAGCAGTACCCGCGCTAAGCTGGTGACGATCCGCGGGGCTCTGGAGATGCTGCTACAGCTGGAAGGCGGCCCGGCGGAGAGCCCAGTCATCGTCTGCTCAGACTCGCAGGCGGCGCTCGCCACGCTGGCGAGTGGTGCTGGGAGTC